TGATGTGTGATAACCCCGGCGCTAGTAACTACCTCCCAGCACGTCCAATCAAGGTGTTCGTTGCAGAATGTTGTAGGATATTCACGTAGCGTATCGCAGCGTGGTGGATTCTGGCAGACTTGCAGGTGATCGATGAACTGGCAAAGTTGGCCGGCGTCGAGAGCCAAGTCAAGGCCAGCCTGAATCAGAGGGCTTAACGGGAAGGTTTCAAACGCCTGCAGTTTTACCACCACTTCGTTGACTGATTACGTAGATGATGTTTTCGCGGTCCGAGAAATTTCAGCAAGCAAGTTTTCCTGCAATCAAAATCACGCCTATATCCACCACATGTGCTTTGGAATGTCATGCGTTCATGGTCAGATGGACGGCCTTCTTTGAAGAATTCCATCGTGTCTTGGATTTTGGAGCTGCATTTGTGGTTCTGAACCTCCGTGCTTGCCATAAGACCCTCCGCCTCAACAACTGTGGTTCATGCTCATCATGATTCAAGGACGGTTAGCAACAAGGCTTTGAAAGAACAGACTTCAAGATCGAGACATGCTTGCAGCAGTGGGGGGTTTGGCTACAACCCCGCATTTCCGGACTCTGCCATATTTGCCGAGCTCCGGGCATCTCCGGGCAGTTGCAGCCCGTCCATTTTGTTTGGCACTCCAGGGTCCCCAGCAACTAGAGCCATGTGGCAGAGCTGATGCACAGCTCCAGCATGATGCGGCGACATGCGGTGCAACACCTGGTCAGCTTCGACCTGCCCTGACATAGTTGCAACAACACCTATCGAAAAGATTGCAACAAAGTGTAAGATGCAAGTGGGTGGCGTTTGCTTCTTCGACGCGATTGAGTAGATGCTGCAAATACACAATTTGCGGCTTGTCGTGCCAGAGGATTTATCCCAGGTGGCCACATGCATGCCTTTCTAAGCTTGCGCACAAGCAAGTGATTACAACTCTGTTTGCCTACCCGCACATGTGTTGACGTGGAAAGACCCAACTGGACATTCCTGGGTCCTGATATCGTAATACCGATCCTGCAAGCCATCCACTGGACCAGGCCCGCCCTTCACCTTGTTTCAGCTCCACCCTGCCAGGCTTTATCCTGCCCTTCATGCACAGTAGTTCCTGCCTGCCCGCCCTTAATGCCAGGATGTGCTGCCTCTATCCATTTTTACCATCGTCCATTTGATTGTACACCTTGTCAGTCTTTGTTTATCTTTCCAAGTTCATGATTTGGTCCTTGCCCCGGCATTTTGACCTCAACCTCAGGACGAAATGAGAACCGCCCTCCAATATGTGTAAAGCATTTGCAAAACAAACATGTTTCCTGACTGCTTGGCTTAGGGGCCATGGATTGCAGGTGTCCTACATGTGCTCCCGTCCAAATCATGATGTACTGTACTGCGCGCAGGGATGGAGTGGGCCACGTACATAGCAATGGTGTGCTGCATGTCCACACGTGAGTGGTGATACGCTAGCGGCTGCCCTGCCAAACGAGTCCGAACTTATCAGCGTTCTAAGAAAGTGTTCTAGAAGAGTTCCCGACAGGCGTCCCTGCTGATTTAGGCGAAGCTGTGCGAGAAATTCCCTATGCTTGTGCAGGTGTGAAGGCTCTTTGAGTGACCTAAACTACCCCAAATGGGAGGAACACAGAAGCAGGGTACATGTCGCGTGCTGACAGGAGATCACGGAAGCGGCCATGCGAGGCGAACTCGACTTCTTCGGATCCTTGAAGTCCCGCGTCGCGCTGCTGAAAGGCCAGCAGATGCCTATCCTTTGTGAAGGTACTTTTTGGTGTTGCTGGGCGAGTCCAGGTCTGCCAGGAACTCCAGATGGCCTGCATTTGATTGCATTTGACGAAAAAACTTAACGGAAAGCAGCAAGAAAGCTAGAAGCGTTTTAAACATTGGGTCCATAGGTTGCAACTGCATATTTCAGGTCGCAGTAGCGTCGTACTCGTTGTGTTGAGGATGCAATGTTACACTGCTGGTCTCAGCGATCACACTGGCGCAAGAACATAGTTGCAGCTCCATGTCAAGGTACAAATGCCTGCCACGGGCACTGCTCCCTTTATGAATGAACAGCACACTGCCAGCCGTTTGTTAGCACACAAGGGTCTCGAATGTTGGTTGGCAGACCTAGTGAGATTCACAGGCCACAATGCGGAGGAGCTCTTCGCAAAGGTGAAGGCGCACTTTGGAACCTGCATGACTCTGCAGCATACTTTCTCATGCTGTGAAGCCATTCTACGCTTGATGCTGGCTTGAAATCAACCTCAACAAAAAGCACGATGCATTTTAGCCTGGTTCAAGCTTTTACGAGAAGGGCATTGTGCGAGAGTGGTGAATCTGCTATTCAGGCAAATTTGATCTTCACACCTGGCGCCAAGAAACTGTGCACGTGCCTCAAGCGCTCCTGAGCTGCAAAGCATCAACCATGCCTCTGCTTGTGATGAACGCAACAAGCAATCCCAGCCCTGTAGTTTGAGAGTCACAACAAGGCTTGGGGTTCAAGACGGCCGTTATTTCAGGCGGCTTCTTGCCTGTGGCCCAGGAGGTCGGTCCGCTTGCATTAGGTTCAGATGTCTTGCACAACTGTTGGCAGTTAAGCAATCCAGAGCCTCCAGGTTCAGAAATACTTGGGTCTGGACTATGCGTTCGCTAACACGCTGGAGGTTGATGAGACCACCGGCTACTTGGTAAGCAAGCCCCTACGGTATCCTACAGTTGTTGTAGGTAGGTCTAGAAGAATCATCACACTTCTGTGCTTGGCACCTGCCAAAGAAGCATGCGTGACGCCATGACGTTTTGCATGGATTGTTCCAAGGCCTTTTGACAGGCAAAACGTCTGGGCCTGTGGTGACACCGCAGAGGAAGCGGCAATTATTAGCCACCATCGCCAACGTGGAAGGTGGGATCAATGCTCATCAATTCTTTCACCCTGATTAGCCCGAGAGGGTGCTTCTCATCATGCATGGCTGCATCACAACCCTGCTCGAGTGCGTGTTATCATCAGTGTTCAGCGGATTCGTGTTCAGGAAGCTTTGCCTACATGCGCTGCACACCGCTGATCAGTAACTGTCTACCGCATGAGGCTGCGAGATTCAGCAGACGATAGCCGTTGGCGACGGCGCGAATGACCCTGTGCTGCATGATTGGTCTGACTGCAAGACGGTGCAAGATTCAAGAGATGAGCCAGCTCACTCTTGTGGGGTCAGGACATTCCGATGCTCCATGCGGCCGGGCTGGGCATCGCTTTCTGCGCGAAGCCTAAGGCCCGCTGGCGGCCAGCTGAAAGTTTGGAGGTCCAGCAACGCTTTGAATGCCTGTCAGGTGCAGGAGGTCTCACGCTTCAGAATAAACCAGATGGATTTGAGCACGGTCCTTTTCCTCATTGGTATTTCTGACCCTGGGCTGCACATACCATTGCCTCGAGTACTGTACAACATGTTTCAATGGAACTTGCTGTGGCTCTGAAATCCAGTGTCGACGAGCTGAGCCACTTGCAGAAGTAAAGGCCCAGATTTCAGGCCGCTGAAGGGTATCAGGGTAGCATTTCAGTCAGGACGATCTTATAGTCGGAAGCTGTAGGTATTGGTTCATGGTGTGTCCGTAACGGCGCTG